CCCCCCATTTGTTGTTGTTTGATTATTGACTTCTCTGAACTAACTTTAGAACGCCCATTCTTGGTCAGATGTGACCACTGAAGTCGCTGTTTGGTTTACTTCATGGTTCGCTAACAACTCGGTAGAAATTTCGTGAAGATGTTGATGTCTTCACTTCCAGCACTCATCCAGTTGTCAATACTGCCCTAACCTCAGCTTACAAGAGATAAGAGTGTTCTGGATCTTCCCTGAGTTGGTTCATAGCTCTCAGCCCACTCAGCCCAGGGCATGCTGGTGGCCCCCCTAACGTTCCTACTAATCTTGTACTTTGTGTTGTCAATTTGATCCTGTATAAATAGGTCTTAAGAGTATTGTGTTACCCAAATAAAGTGCTTTCAGAAGTCTGAGAATAAAAGTTAAAGACAAGCAAAAAGCATAATGTTTGAAGTAGATATTTTTTATTAGTTAAACTCAAGTATTGCTAGATTTGAAGAAGACCTTCAGAGAGATTTTTTGTGTAAGGTTTAAAAGTTATAATAGGGCAATAGTTTCAAAGGTTTATTCAGCCTCCATGGCTCAAGAAAGCTTGGAGTCTGTGAGGATTTGAAACCTTATTCTGCATTTTCCTTTTGATCAGGATTATTCTATAGACTCTTCGATAGAAATGTTCAGGAGTTGTAGTTAGGTACCATCCAGTTCTTGTGCTCTCATGGCAATGGAAGCGATGTTTATCGAGGTCATTAGCCACACATTGTGTGCCAAGAGGAAGTCATTAATTTAGTCAACTATTAGCTAGGGTAGATCGATCCTTCCAGACTTCTGTGTCCTCACCTACAACACAGTGATGGCAGCCTCATAGAGTTGTTAAAAGATTAAATTAGAAAATGTTTATCAATACTTACATAATCAACTTTGAAACATTTCAATCTCGTAACTGACATTATGAGCACTTAAATTTAAATGGTGGTGACTTCACAAAAATGACTATCTTCCCCTTCTGTAATTATAGTCTTGGATTATATCAGTGGAGTGATAAAGTGGTTCGAACAGTGGAGAGATTATGGGATGTTCGTGATAATAAGAGAGTTCATCACACTGTCTATCTCCTAGTAACACCCCGTGTGGTTGTAAGTATTCCTTAGACTGTTCCCAAACCACAAGCCACTTGCTCTTTTGCTTCATTATTTCTCTTTCTTTGCTAATCATTATTAGTTAAGAATTTTGTGGTTTCAGAACCTTACGGTAGGAAAAGTAATCTGAAGCCAGTACAGATATGTGGGGGAAAGGCCAGCCCCCCACAACTAATTGTGGGTTTGATTGGCGCAATTGTACAGTTGAAATATATATATATGAAATAAAGTCATTGAGAGCATGAGAGATAAAAAAGAGATTGAAATAATGGAGTCAGACACATTTCATGGTAGCACGCTCACCTCAGCCCCACTTGGTGGTCCACATGGAGATGGGAGACTGGAGGGCAGGAATGAGGGGGAGGGGAAGGAGGACAAGGGAAAAGGAACAGGGGAGAGAGGACCAGAGAGGAGAGGGAGCCGATGAGAGGCCAAGGGGGATCTTTATTGCTAGCCCAGGCTTATATACCTTTGGGGGGCATGCAAGCCCACTAATTACAGGTAAAGACTTACGTCACAGGAAGGGATTGCACTACAGGTTATACAGCAATGAGAGGAGGACACCTAGGAGGACAACTAGGGATATGGACATACACGCAATAGCAAGAGGGAGGGATTGGGAGTATACATGTGACAAGATGGGCGGATCCTAGATTCAGGATGGCAGCCTAACTTTGGATGTCACTGAGCAGGTTTGATCCGTTCTCTGGCTCACTATAGAAACCATTATCAGTAGGGTGTATATCCCACTTACAGGGACCAGACTTATGGTCACAAGCCTTTAGGGACAAGTAGCCCATTGTCCTTAACAGCAGGGAGTGGGGCTCTACTTTTGGTGGGACCAGAGAGTAGTCTGGCAACTGACTGCCTTCAGGGAGGTAACTTGATAATCATTTACCTTTAGTTGCAAGCAGTGTCCCAGGTCTAACATATATTTGGGGGAGACAACTTGGGAGACATCTTTCTGTCTCCCACCCAGATGCACTACACGACAGAGAAACCCGAGGAGAGGGAAGTTTGGTAGTGATTCTCGTGGGCCTCATCCTACATGCTGCCTTAAGTCGGCATCTCATGATATCACTAGTACTATTTTTAGTATTGCTTATTATTCCATTTGTGGTTCTTTTTACTCGTAAATGTAATGAAAGAAGCCTGTTACTTCTTCCCCTTTCTTGACCTCTGAAGGTGTGACCTGCTCTGGGATGTTTGTCATCACTGAGAGATAAATCAATTATGCCGAGTGGTACTCGATTGAACAGAATGTCCTCCTATGAAGACTCCCCTATAACAAGAGCAGAAGTTTATGTCAGCGTTAAGGTGGTTGACGATGCAACATTTATACATGGCAACCTACTCGTCTGACTTTCTGAAATACAAGTAACAAAGTAAAAGGCTTCAAATAGAGTATAAAATA